ACGAGGCCGAGGTCATCGGCGCGCCGCGGCTGCGCCAGTACCACATGATCCCGGACGCGGCGGTCAACGAGGACTTCGCCAACGGTCTGGTGTCGTTGACCTACCTGCCGCCGCCGATCCACCGCGTGCTCGCGCTGCCGCAGGGTGACAGCCGGGGCGGGAAACGGGCGCCAACTCGAAAGGCTCCCCTCTCGGTCGTTTTCCACTCGTTTCGGCTGATTTCTGGACGAGCGATCATCTCCCGGAGCGGTCTCGACGCGTGGACGCTTTCCCCGGAACGCGCGCGCGCGGAACACTCACGTTGAAGCGACGTTGCATCACCCTTAGGCGACCAGGGCGTGGAACTCGTCCACATCATCACGCCGGACCACCCGCCGCGCGTGTCCGGCGCGCTGCGCCACCACACGGCGTACCGGCCCCACAAGGTTTTAGCCTGCGGCGGCGTCGTGGGCACGTCCATCGTCGTGACGGGGTCGTCCATCGCGCCGGGCGGCCCGCACTACGTGAGCCTCTGGTCGCTGCCGTCGCGGTCCGGAGGCGCCCGCGAGGGCCCGCTGCTGCCCGTGCTCGTGCACCGGCGCGAGACGCCGAGCCCCATGTCGGCCATCACCTACTCGGCGCGGCTCGACCGCCTCTACACGGGCGGCGAGACGAGCGGGTTGGTCTACGAGTGGTCGTTCGACGAGAACCGCAAGTCGGCGTCGGCGGACGCGACGGGGCCCAAGGCCCTGGGCCGCTGCCGCACGCTGCGGCTCCACACCTTTGGCGTCACGACGATCGTGGAGCTGGAGCGGCGGAAGCGCCACTCGAACCTCATCGTCACGGGGTCCACGGACGGCAACATCAACGTCTGGAACCCGAGCGACTGGTTCGGCGGCGGCGCCGCGGACGACGCGACCTTCGACTCCGCCGCGTTGGGCGAGGACCACAGCTCCGCGGCCGTGCCCGCGCCCCACGGGCGCAAGGAGCTCGTGCCCGTGCTCCAGCTCGCGGCGCAGTCCACGGGGCCGGGCACGATCGTCGTGTCCGTGGACCACGGCCTCCTCTTCTCCGCGGGGCGCCTCTCCGTCAAGGACGCGACGGCGTCGACGGTGGTCCTCGTCTGGAAGCTCAGCGAGCATTCGCAGCACGGCCTCAAGCGGCGCATCCACGCGCAGCTCACGCGCCACAGCGCGCAGATCTCGGACGTCGTCGAGGTCGTCGACGAGGCGCAGCTCGTCACCGCGGACATCGGCGGCCTCGTCGTCGTCTGGCAGATGCCCCAGCTCACGGCGCGGCAGCAGGTCACGCTGCCGAGCGGCGACCTGCCGAACGTGCGCGTGTGCATCTCGCCCCTGCCCCACTACGGCTACGCGTCGTCGAACCCGGCGCGCGACATCGCCGCCAAGGTCAAGAGCGGCCAATTATCAAAGGGCAACGCCGGCGGGCCCGACGCGGTGCTCGTCGCCGCGAATACGAGATTAGCGCTCTACCAGTTCCAGCTCAGCCTCATCAAGGAGCCGTTGTTATTAGCGCACTACGACGCGGGCATGGCGGTCTTCGTCGTCGTGAGCGCGCAGCGCGTCTCCGTCTGGGACGCGAACAGCGGGCGCCTGCGGTCGCAGATCGCCGCGGCGAACCTCATCGGCGACGAGGACGCGGCGGCGCAGGCGGGGCCCGAGGGGGGGCAGGCCCAGGAGCACGTCAAGCTCGCGACGCTGTCGCGGAAGCGCAAGGGCGCGCGCGAGCTGAGCGTGAACATGCCCGGCGAGGCGGAGACGGTCGTCGAGGCCGCGGACTCGTCGCCGCCGGAGATCGT